ATAGAAAATTAATTCAAGTATAAAATTTTTAAATTATCTAAATATTTTAAATTTTGCATGGAAAAGTATTCACTTAAATAAAACTTTTAGAAGCCAAATTCTATTACTTTTAAAAATTTCAGAGAAATGATACATTTACATCATCAAAGCAAGTGAACAAATATTCATAAAATTGTATTACATCATTAAAATTGATAATTCTTAATTTTTGAAATAAAGGAAAAAATATTTAAATTTCTAATCACTCGTCATAATCATAGAATTGTTTTTATAGCTCTATTCAAAAATGAATATATATATGAATATATATATATATATATATATATATATACATATATATATATATATATACATATATTAATTACAAAATTTACACATTCAAAATATAACATCTCACAAAAAAAAAAAAAAGGAAAATTATAATAATTACAACACATCGGTTTATTACACATTATAATGCATTTACATCTTCAAAGAAGAAAAAAATAAAATACCAAAAATAGTCAATTTTTTCTCTTCCTATACAATGGATAGTTCATTGATCCAAAAATTATTTGTATGGCTGCACTTGCACATGCATAATAGCAAAAAAAATAGAAGGATAAAAGAAATATTTGTTCAAATCAGAGCTTATTATTTCCACCTGTTAAGAATTAAGATGAGCTTGTGGTTTCTACAATATATCACAAAGCATAATACCTTAAATGATCATTCATATAAGCCATTTGAATGACCATGAATCAAGTTCATTCAACAACGAACATAATACCTCAAATGATCATTCAACAGCAAGCATAAGTGATAATAAATAATCATGATTCATGATAATGGTTACTAGAGCTTAGATGGTATGTATTAGTATATAAGTTAATCATCACAGAGTAGCAGAATTCAGAGAAACAAAAAACAATTAAAAAAACTTAAGTGGTAGTATGCAAATTTTCCAAATAAAAATTTGCAAAAAAGTAATAGTTAACAAAAAGCATGTCACAGAGTAGTCATACTTAACAATACAACATATCAATAGCAAACAGATTCCATAAAGCCACCAAAGAAAAGGAGAAGAGAGAAGAGCTTAAAACTTACGTGAATTTAAATCACGATGATTCTATCCTAAAGATAGAAAAAAAATATTTTCTAGCTTGGTTGAATCATCATGCATCTCCAGAATTCATCAACACATGTCGTTTCCAAATTCCAATGAATCCAACGAGCAAACAACAACAAGTCCAACAAAAGATCCCAAGCCCAACGACCAAGAAGTGCATGTAAATTCAAAATTAAGTTAATGTTAGAGCTTTTTGTTTCTACCCGCTAGAAATTAAGATGAGTTTGTTGTTTATACAGTATATCCCAAAGCCATTTGAATGATCATAATAATGGTTACCAGAGCTTAGATGGTATGTATTTAAGCATAAGTTAATGATCGCAGAGTAGCAGAAATCAGAGTGGTAGAAATCAGAGTAATATAAAGAAATTAATGGAAACAGAGTGGTTTGCAAGTAAATTTTTCAAATAAAAAGTGATAGAAGCGTAATACCCAATTAAAAATATATGTTAGAGAGAAATAATACTAAACAATACAGCTGCAGCCTGCACCTGCTTTCTCTTTAGAAGTAATTGGGGATAATTCAACCATCCAATAACAAACATAATTCCTTAAAAGCTTCCAAACTTCCACTATTCAACAATAAACAAAAATGTTTAGAAGTAACTTCAATATTTACATATTCCAACAACTAAATGACTTAAAAACTTCCACCATCCAATAGAAAGTGAATCAATAGCAAAAAATGTTCTATTTACAAAACCACCAAAGAGGAAGGGAATAGAGAAGAAGAGCTCAGAACTTACCTGAATTTAAATCAAGATGAGTCCAACCTAATGATAGAAAAAAATATTTTCTAGCTTGGCTGAATCATCATGTATCTCTGGAATTCATCATCGATATAAAAATAAAAATTAAAAAATAATAATAATAATAAATAATAATAATAATAATATCATGCAAGAGCTGAATGAACTTATGGATATAGTTACAGTGACAGTGCAGCAAAAGAAAAATACAACCAACACATTCCGTTTTGAAAGAATCTAACCAGAAAACAACAACCAGACCAGCAAAAGATCCCAAGCCATCAGCCAAAAGTGCATATAAATCCAAAATTAAGTTTAAAATCATTGACTAAACCACCTAACCATCCAAAAGTGCATATAAATCCAAAATTAAGTTTAAAATCAATGACTAAACCACCTAACCATTGATAAACAAATGTCCTACATCAATATAGTTTTCAAACTTCAAATAATGAGCCAAAATTAATGAAAGTATTGCATTATAACGTCCTTGAGTCTCCCATCGATAACTCCGATAACTTTACAGTGAGCCATTCCTCTTTCATTATCTCTTTCTGTTCATTTATTGAACATACATACATACATACATACATACATACATACATACATACATACATATATATTAATATCTTTAGCCATTTGGGATAAATATGGATATTTAAGAGTGTTCAATTGTCACCACTCAAGAATATCAAATTGGTCATTATTGGCCAAAATAAACCCTCATCAAGATATGTATGCAAATATGATTTTGAAGGTTGAGCAGACCCCAATGATACCACAAAATCCACAAATCCAAGCATACAATCAAAATTTTGTGGAAAAGATAAATCATTTGGAAAGTTCAAAGATCCTCTAGCATTTGATGTACTAGAGCTTGTAAAATCAAGTGTATATTCATTATATATATTCCAAATAGTAACTTCTACTTTTTGAATTTTTGAGCTGAGTTCAATGGATGAGTATATCTTTGGAAATGTGTAATAAATAAACTTAAATTTCAGTCAAGGATCTAACACAGCCGTCACAGACAAAAGAAGATTACACTTTTGCCAACATTTATCAAACTTTATATTCATTGCAAGGGGCATTCCTCAATATAATAATTGGAAGAAGAAGACTCGTCTGTTAACAACTTTTTCACATGCATATCGATTGACAAGAAAATATTGGATGTTGGGTATGAAGAACCTGAAATAGCTTTTGTTACATTACAAAAAATGACAAGAAATTTCCTTATTTTCTCATACCGCTCTAGTCTATGTCAGATGGCAACTACTTGTAATTGCTATCTCGAGCTGCATATTGACCACAAACAATTCTATAAGAAAAGCAGATTCAATCATTAGATGTGTCAAGTTCCATCTTGTTGGCATATTAATAGATAATCTCTTAGTGGTTGAAAACCCCTAACTGTTATAAGAAAAGTCCATCAAACAGAATAAAAATCACTACTAATCATTTTATGACAATATCTTCTCATTATATATTATTTCATTAGTGCAATTTGTAATAGATTTATATCATATTTTTTAAGAAGAATTCGTGCAAATAATTACAACAAGAAGATATAAAGGTAAGAAAAAACTATTAAATACTAAACTAATATTACTAATGCAATAGAATCCAGAAGTAAATCAACTTCTTTTTAATATTCCTCAATCAATGAACAAGGGTTAAATAAATAATGATAAGAAAACAAAGAATAAGTTTGACTGGAATGTTTCACTAGATGTTGAGCCAATATCTCATGTACTATGCTGGAAACAAGTTATAGTTGGAAATGGACAAAACCTTCAAATTGCGCAAATTGGTCCCAAATTCATTAATTTTTGCATCTTTCTCTTAATCCTATTTCAAAAGCTAAATCATTAGTGTATATGTAAAATGACATTCTTTAAATGAATGACCTAGCCTACTGGCTACTACCAAAACTCTTATGAAACTTGATAAAAATATTTACTGAACCTTTTAAAACTTAATATATAACACAAGGAACATATTGAAAGAGCGATTTGATTCAAAACATATATTTATAATTTTTCACCGTGACAGAGTTAAAACTCATATAAAAAAAAAATTAGAAAGACAAGCTTACCAAGTTGTTTATAACACTCCATGGTGTTCAAGCCAAGCCTTATTTATAAAACCATGCAAAATACATATATATATATATATTAGAAAATATTTTAGAAAATCTATCAGAAAATAAAAAGAAAAATCTAAGAGAAATATATCCGAAATTAAGAAACATGACAAATCCCAGTTTCACTTTTTGAAGCCGAATGGAAAAACGGAAGTCAGGAGAGCAAATATATCAACTATAAACGACGACCAAACAAAAGCAGTGTCAAACCGAACTCTCGGACTTCGCCCGCTCCTACCTTCTCGCGAGCATGATGTCGAAATAAAAGATGAGAGTCGAGATGAGAGGAAGGGCACTGGAGTTAGCCACGAGAGAATTTGGGTTTAACGTTTTGGCTTTGCCTTCCCTTTTATACGGAATTCTTTTTAACTCTTTTTAATAAAATTTAATAACCTGTTATATTATGTATGTTTTCTTTAATTTTTTAGCTATTATGAATTCACTTTATTATAAATTTTTATTGGGTTCTTTAAAAATAATACACATCAAATATATAATTAATTAATTAATTAATTAATTCGAACATAAGCAGGCCGAATAAGAGCTGCTCGTGACAACCCTACTTGTATGTATAATTATGGTTTAAATGTCATAAAACTGGTCAAACCATCAGATGTCTGGCCGTACAGATGAGCCATCCCCGGACATGGCCTGCTTTTATAACCCTGCAAAGGAAAGTTTTGAAAGATATAATTCATAACTGACAATTTTAATAGTCCTCCAAAGAAGAATAAATCAATAATTATCGCAGACGCGTAAAGTTGTGTTGACCGTTTATTTGTCTATGGAGACCCAGAACCCAAAAAATTTAAATATCATTTCCCGACTTAATCGCCATAGGCGGGCCATCAAATAAAGTTTTCGGTGTTTGGTTTATAACACGAAACAGGTGAAATTGAACCACAAATTATTTGGATAAATACACGTGGCGAACAAGCAGTAAATGTTAGCATAATCAAACGGTGGCTGTTGAAGTTGCCTATTCTCAATTCAAACAAGATTTTTGCGTTTTCCTTGAAGAAAAAGAACTGAATTTTCTCATCCGTTGAAATCGGGCCAGAAGAGACGCTGCTCTTGCTTTCTCAATAACTTACTTCCCTTCAGGTCTTCTCCGTTTCAGTCTTTGTAGAGATCCTTTGATCTGGAGCCGGCTGCCTGCTGTGATTTTTCGATTGAGGAGAGTTGGATTTAGGAGGCCAGAGGAAACGAAAGCGTGCTTTTGGTGCTGAAGAGGGGGCGAAGGTGAGTGGAAACCCTCTTATGTTCTTTTGTACGAGCTTTAGAAGATTCTTTACTTTTTCCTCTTCTTGCTTTGCATTTTGTTCTTCTTTATTACTGTTACGAAGCTATGATGAGGTATGTGACTCTGTGGGTGAGTCCGAGTAGTTACAGATAGTATCGAAATTGTTACTTCCGTAAGAATCGGAGGTGAGGAGGTCAATATTTGCGATCGAGTTTCACAGTAGTTGGCCTAGAACATGCTCAAGGGCAAAATAAATACAGGGAAAGAAAAACCCAAGAGTTGCAGTCTGATAATTTTTTATCTGCCTCTTTTGTAAACCAATATTACATATAAATATATGAGTGATTATTGTATGAGGACACCGGACTCAAATTTGTGTCCGGTAGAGTCACTGTAATAACTTTTTTTTAGTGTTTTTAATTAGACACCGGACTCAAATTTACGTCCGGTGTCCTGATGCAATAAAAAGTCCTTTCAAGAACCACTACTAACAAAATATGAAAATAGCATGGCAGAACGTATATGCATAACAAAAATATAAGAAATTGTTCTCCATGTGCTTATATAACATAATATGAATATATATGTGTGTGTGTGTGAGAGAGAGAGAGTTTTATTATACTTCCCTATAAGAATGTGTATCAGGTCGCCCCCTGTCTATGTTAAAAATATCAACACGAATCTTTAAGGAATCAAACAGCTAGGATGGAGCCTCAAACGATTGAAGTTCTAAACCAAAAGGTGCGATCCGGATTGGCTAAGCAGTCACCGACTGCACAGTAGGATCGATCGATGCATTATTAACAGACGAACCTAGTCGATAGTCGATAGACCTGTTGACCAAATGTCGTATCAACAAAATCACAAAATATCTATGATCGATCGATCAATCTCCTCAATGAAAATGATTTTACATGCGATCAAATGACATATTAAATCAATCCCGAAGCATCCGATGATCGATAAAGCATTATATTTTACTTGTATTATAAATATATTTTTTACTCAGTAGACATGTCGATTTAGTTGTTTGGGCAGTTACTATAACTAATCCCTCTTTTGTAACCGTAATTTTTAGACCTTTATAAGTAGAAGGTCGATGCAGATGATGCGTCAGTTTGAGGCCCTATAAGAAGCAGTTTTTCGAAGGAATGATCAACCACCACTTATAGAGGTGGGATGTCAAGGAGCTCGCTCTCAAGGGGTTCCCCTTGAGAATCCGCTAACGCCCAACGATCGAGTGAGCGCTCGGGCATCTGAAGCACAAGGAGATTCCCATCATGTGGATAACACTGGGTCTACGCCTGTGGCTAGGCATCTGGTAGAACGTGCCTTGAACCCCCCCGGCAAAGGTGCTTTTACTCGAAAGATCATCTGAAGCACAAGGAGATTCCCATCATGTGGACAACACTGGGTCTATGCTTGTGGCTAGGTATCTGGCAGAACGTGCCCTCCCCACCCTCTGCCCCCGCGCGCGATAGTTCTTTTACTCGAAAGATCGTCGAAATTAAGGATTCTTCATTTGAATCCTTACAAGTGGAAGAATAATCCAGTCGATCATGAGGCTTCTTTCGAATCATTTGTCAGAGTGTTACAGATAAGCGACCTGATGAGGTATTGGCTTTTCCTAATGATATTGAAGGAGTCAGCTCTTCAGTGGTTCCTCAATATGCCGGTCGAATTATTTCAACTTTCGCTTAGTTCAAGAAACTCTTTGTGGCTCACTTCACCACTGTACATAAGTCGAGAAAGAAGTCCAAGGCTCTAATTCAAATTCAAATAAAACAAGGAGAGATCAAAAGCCTACGTTCTTATATCCCTCGATTCCGGAAGGAGATGCTGGAAGTGAAGGACTTGCAATAGCTGATTGCTTAGATTGCTCTGACACAAGGAGTTAAAGACGGGTGATTTAAATATGACTTCAACTTGCTCGAACTCAAAGTCTTTCCTCTAACTGTTGGAGATAGCCAACAGTCACATTACTACAGGGGAGGCTACTGGCCCTCCGAAATTTGAACAAGTATTTTGATTACCATCGTGATCACGAGCACGCCACAGAGGAGTGGTTTTTTTAATGCAAGATCTGCATTGGCTGCTGCGAGCCCAAGTGCGCTAGGTTTCCAGGGGGAGACTCGCAAGTGTTACAGTTGTGGTGAAGTTGGTCATATGAGCAGGGACTGTCCTAAACCACTTAAGGAGAGACAGACAGGTGGACGTGGACAAGGTGGAGGTCGTGGAGGTTAGAAAGGTGAAAGAGGGGGCTACCGGACAAATTTGATGGTAGCAGAGGGCAATAGAGAGAGAGCCATGTATGATCTTTATTAGTGAGGATCATGAGTGTCTAGAGCTGCTGAAGAAGAAGCAAAAAAAAGCAAGAGATGAAGTTGAGAATGTTTCAAATTCATCGATATCAAGGTGTAGCATTATCACTTAGTACTGGTGACACACTTGCTTTTGCTTCTATTTCCACCACAAAATCATTAGAATAGATCATAGATTTTGGTGTTTCTCGTCACGTGATAGGTATTGCTGGAGAGTTCTCTTTATATACTCATTTAGCAACACTAGAGTATACATACTATTAATAATACAGCACAACCTATAGTTGGTAAGGGTACAGTGGGATGTACCGATCATATGATTTTGTCCAATATTTTGTGTGCTCCTTCTTTCCCAGTAAATCTCTTGTTTATTAGTGTCATTATTGTCCCGTTAAATTGCATTGTTTCTTTTGATATTTACCATGTGATCTTCCAAGAGAAAGGGACAGGCCAAACACTTAGGACTGAAACGTGGCATTACAGACTCTGGTACTAAGACTAAGAGGGGACAGATTCAACTCTGGTGCTGCAGTAGAAGAATTTAGGAGGAACGTCGAGGATGTGTCACTGCTACGTCACATATATATGGGACGTTCTAGTCTTAGTTTATTAAGTCGGTTGTATTCATCTATGTATGAAAGACAAATAAGGAGAAACTAGTGTGTGATACTTGTGAGTTTGGAAAATTCACTAGGAACTCTTATATCGGTTCTGAGAATAAGAGCTCTGGTATGTTTGATTTCATATATTCTGATGTATGGAGATCTTGTTCTACTAGTTCTATGAATGATTATTGGTATTTTGTTATGTTTATTAATTATTTTTCTTGTTTTACTTGGATATACTCGATAAAACAAAAGATTGAGGTGGTTGCTTGCTTTAAAGATATTCACAAGGTAATTCAAACCCAATATAGTGCAGTTGTGAGGCACTGCAATCTCATAATAAGACAAAATATATCAACGAAGCATTTGGGGACTTCCTGACAGCTCAAGGGATACGACGCTAAACCACACGCTCATACACCCCAGTACAGAATAGAATAGCAGAGAGGAAGAATTGACATCTTTTAGATGTAGCCCAAAGCATGATGACGACAATGAATGTCCCATAACACCTATGGGGGAAAACAGTTTTAACAGTCATTCAATTGATTAACAGGATGCCTTCAAGGGTGTTGGAGTGGAATTCTCTTTGTCAGATGTTGAAAGGAGACAATAGTGGGATATTTCCATTGAAGATATTTGAATGTGTATGCTTTGTGAAAGACAATAAACCATCTGTGGGGAAGTTGGATCACAGAACTGTGAAATGTGTGTTCGTGGGTTATTTATCAACTCAAAAGGATTATATCTGTTGGAGCCCGATTGAAAAAAGACTCTTTGTGATTATGTATATGTCATTCAGAGAGTTTGAATCATATTACACTATGAAGGTGAATTCACCATTCAGTGACTCAACAGACACTTGAGATATGAGGCAAGAGAGAGTGAGTAGTAGTGGTGCAAGTGAGAGCAATGTCATGTCCTATGATATGGAATTGACCGACCAAAGAGATCAAAATCGAGGAGATTGACCCCAGAGGTGGTGGAATTCAGGTTGAAGGTGAGTTAAGGGTATAGACATGGAGGAAAAAACAAACCGAGAGAACAGAATCCGCAATGCCAACAAGTCCTTTGTCCCGGTCTTTCCTAACTCTTGAAACACCTATATCATCCACCTTCAATTTAAAACTTCCAGGTGATATTATTACTTCTCCGTCCACTCCTACCCCCCAAATTTTGCGGAAGACCTTCTGCAGCAATGCGGGACATCTTCCTGATCGTTTTGGGTGAGAACTTAATATTATGAACTTTATTTCTTATTCTAACAACTCACCTTTGTATGGAGCATTCAATGCATCATTGAACTTTGTTTTTATGCCAAGTGTTGGTAGGTTGTTAAAGAGGATTTCAAGTGAAAAGCGATGATGCATGAAGAGCTTGAAGCTCTTGATAAAAACATAACATTGGAGATTGTATCACTACCAGTAAGGAAGAAGACAGTTGGTTGCAAGTGGTTCTTCACGGTGAAACAAACTTTAGGAGGGAAGGTGAATAGCTACAAAACACGACTAGTGGCAAAAAGGTTTAGTCAGACGTATGACATTCACTACGATGAAACATTTGCACCAGTCACAAAGATGAGCACAGTGAGGACATTGGTGTCTCTGACAGTGAATGGTGGATCGAGACTCCATTAATTGGATGTGAAGAATGATTGTCTTTATAAGGAGCTATTAGAGAATGTATATATGAAGATGTCACTAAGATTCAATACATCCCAGACAGTGGACAAAGTGTGTAGGCTCAGGAATTCACTGTATGACTTGAAACAGTCTCCTGGAGCTTGGTTTAATAAGTTTAAAATAATGATGGTTGACATTGACTATCAGCGGATCATTGCAGACCACACAGTATTCTTTTGGCAACATGAATGTCACACTACCATATTTGTTGGGTATGTGGATGAAATGATTATCACTAATGATGATGAGACAGAGATTGCTCTACTGAAGGGAATTTTGGAAAATAATTTTAGGTAAAGGTTCTGGGACAGCTCAGATTCTTTCTTGGGATTGAAGTGACCCATGGATATGTGGGGATTGTCCTATCCCAGAGAAAGTATGTACTGAATCTTCTCACGGAGACAAGGATACAAACCTGCAGTCTCTCCAATTGATTAGAAGGTTAAGCTCAGTATAGAGGCAGGTGAATCAGTTGATCATGAGAGGTACCAGAGGCTGGTATGCCGCCCGATCTATCTGTGCCACACTGAGCCTGATATTTCTTTTGCAGTAAGTGTGGTGAGTCACTATGTACTCAAGAAAGGGTAATATGGATGCAATGTATCAAATTCTTAAATATTTTAAAATTGCATCGGGGAAAGGGTTGATATATAGAAAGAACGAGCATGTAGATATTGAGGGCTTTTGTGAGTTAGATTGGGCAAGTTGTGCTAATGATAGGAGATCAACATCAAAATACTATATGTTTGTAGGTGGCAACTCGATTTCGTGGAAGAGCAAGAAACAGTTGTAGCAAGATCAATAGTAGAAGCAGAATACAGGCCTATGACATTAGGATTTGCTGAGATGTTGTGGCTGAAAGCTTTGTTGGTTGAACTCGAAGTGGATCAGGGAACTCAACTGAAGTTGTGGTGTAACAACAAGACAACAATCAGCATTGCTAACAACTCGGTGCAATATGATATAACCAAACATGTGGAGATTGATTGGTTCTTCATCAAGAAAAAGCTGAATAACAGACTGCTAGAGCGAAGTCATGTAGCCACTGGAGAGAAAGTGGCGGACTGCCTCCTTAAAAGACAGCTCATTAGATTTTTATAGGTTATGTGACAAGATGGGCTTGGTGAATATCTTTTGTCCATCTTGAGGGTAGGGTTCTACTAGTAAATAGTTGAAGTCTAGGGCTTTATTTGTAAATGTTGCAACTTGTAAGACTCTCTAAGCCCGTAATCAATGAAATGAGGGTGATTTTTGAGCAATAATTTATACTCATAGTCATGAGAATCAAGTTTCTCAAAATTCCTGTAGAAGTGCTGGATTTGAAACTATGATAAATCTGAATTGATGTTAGAAGATTTTATGGAATTAGTAAAAGTTGGCAGCTGCTTTTAACTTTTTTTTTTTTTTGGTCAAATGATGGTCAAATGAATAAATATTCAATTGGTCAAATGAATAAATATTCAACCGAAAATCATAAATCACTCCCATATCAAATTGCCAAGGTCTATCAAGTATAAAATGACTAACATCCATGTACAGGAAATTACAAAGTACTTCGCAAATTAAATGTTTTATAATAGGAAAATTGACAAGACACATTTCGGAGACGAGTATGTCGCTTTCTTTCTTAACCCAACTGATTTTACAGGATTGTGAATGTTTTGTAGTTTTAAGTTCTAATTCTTGTATAACAGATCCGGAAGTTATATTCTCGGTTCAGCCACTATCAATGGGCAAATCACAAACCTTTATTCTAATGGTACATCTAGTTCGAAATATAGAATGCCATTGGGAAGCCATGGACTGTCGATTTGCTATAAGTAATTTTGCGATAACGCTTACAAGAGTCTCCCCTTCATCTCCAACTACCTCGTCAATTTCTGCTTCACCCACATCCGAGGCATTATCTTGCAGTTCATCACCAGCTTCTCCTTCCATGACCTGAATTTCTTGCCACGCTGTGCATTCACTCGATTTTTGTTCGAGTTTAAAACAACGAAAGCATTTTAAAGTGGAAGGCTTGGAGTATGGATTCTCTTTCACCAACATTTTACCCTTAATGGAACCTTCTCACCTGTTGCTAGGATGGATTTAGGTGCTGATTGGAATTGAAGAGAGCTCGACTTTTGTGACAGATTAACTGTTTAATTACTAGATACAGGTTGTTCAAAGGGCCGTCCATCCAAATGAATTACCCTTTGTGTGCCTGTTGAGTTGCAATTCTGCTTTGCATGCTAGATTCACTGTTTTCAACAAAGACCAATCAGAATTCAATTTCTAGTTTATCTTGAATGGTATCTTTAAGTCCGCTGATGTATCTGGCGACTAATTTATTGCTGGACTTTTTAAAATTATTTCTAGAACTGAATCCATAAAATTCTTCAGTGTATGCACTGATAGATTTGGAGCCTTGGCAACAATGTTGATATTGATTGCATAACATTTGCTCATGATCTGTTGGTAAAAAATGCCCTTGTAGAAGTTGCTTCATCCTATACTAACTGCGAACTGCTCCTTTGCCTTCTCCCAGATTAATTTAGGACATCACAATGAACCTTATGTTATACACTATACTTTATTTTCAAAGCTTGGTTTGACATGCTTCGAAGCAAAACCTATTTTTCCATAATTGTAAGTTAAGGAATAAAAGGCGGGATATGGGATTATAAAAAGTAAAAAATTACAATGGTGGATATTCTTATTCCGAGTTGGTGTTTTAAGGGAAGAAAAATTGCTGTTCCTTTATTCATCAAATACTGAAAAATGGAAAATAATGTTATCATCTCCATCACACTATTTTAGCCTTATCGAAACTATTGGGTTAGGCTTTTTTAGTCCTTTGTCAATCTTTCATATAGATTGCCTTATGATGAACTCTAATTTATGTAAATGATTTTGCACAATTTCTAGTCTCTAATAGTGATTTTGCTCCACCTTTTATTTTTGCTTAATTTGCTTAGCATAGACCATTTTCCCCCTATCATATGGGGTAAATACTTTTGACTAATGTTCTAACACTGCTGCGCTGACATAGAGTTGGATAGGTACGTGGATGGAAACTTGGCGCAGTGTGACATCATTTATGACTATAAAAGTTTCCTTCATAGAGATGGCTTTGATGCTTTGTTGCATTCTTTTTTTCTAGGCATAGTTATTTCTTGAGCTATTTAACTAATTGTGGATATGCTTGTAATTTTTTTGTCTATTTTTCACTTAATAGGTGAAAATGCCAGATATTCAACTTGGTGCTCACAATTTTAGATCCCATGGAATTAAAGTTGCAAAATTCCACAAGCATGACTGGATCATACTAGTTTTTCTTGCCATTATTGATATTATACTGAATGTAATCGAACCCTATCACCGTTTTGTGGGAGAATTTATGATGACAGATCTTAGATATCCAATGAAGGGCAATACAGTGCCATTTTGGGCTGTCCCTGTACGTTCCTACATGCCTTGTTTTTTGGTTAATTTTGACGATGTGGCATTTTGCTATTCCGCTCCTAGTGATTTTCAAGCTTTAAAAGAAGAGTTTTTTTTTTTATTGTAACAGTTGATAGGAGTCATTTTGCCAATTTTTATCATCACCGGCATTTACTTCAAAAAGAGAAATGTCTATGATCTGCACAATGCAATATTGGGTAAATTATTTATTTAGTTTTTGTTTTTTTTTAATAGCACAACTAGTTCATTATAATACTTTATTTGACGGTTACTTGCATTTTGTGAGCAGGCCTCCTATTTTCTGTTCTTATTACTGCTGTCTTAACTGATGCAATCAAGGATGCTGTTGGTAGACCGCGACCAGATTTCTTTTGGCGCTGTTTTCCAGACGGCATTCCCGTGAGTTTTTATCATTAAAAAAAGAACAATTTTGAAAGAAGTTTTTTCTGTTAACTTGTATGGTTTAGTCATTCAGCATGAGGTAGCTTAACCAGATGCTGAAATGTTTTTGTGCAGAAATATGACAACTTCACCACAAGTGTTATATGCCACGGAGAGAAAAGTGTTATCAAGGAAGGTCACAAGAGTTTTCCTAGTGGGCATTCTTCATGTAAGTGGCAAAACATTTTTTGTAACTCAAGTTAGTTAAGTGAATACTTATCATAAAACCTTAAGATAATAGCAAAGAGGTAGTATTCTAATTTTGTTTGCTAATATTAAGTAAGCTTTTCTAAACAAAGTTATTACACTTTATAAGCAATTTTTTTTGGTTATGTAGAAATCCCTTATTTGAAAATTTGAAGGATTAATTAGCCTTCTGTAGGAGAGACATTTCCATATTAGTAGTTTATTTAGTTGCTGGAAGATGCAATACTTAGATTCTTAATAATTGATCATATTCCTTTATTGGTAACATAAAGCAGTTGGTAATACTGTTTATTCATGTCGAACAACTCTAATATTAATAGAATTTCAAGATCATATGTTACATAGAAGGGAGAGCTACTGACATATGGATCTTTTTTATCTGCATATAGAAAAATAAAAATAAGCGGTGTATGATTTACGAAGGTTTTAATGTTATGTGCTTTTAAATTTTGTTTAATGCATCCAAAATTGCCTTCTATTTCTTATAAATTGCCAAATTATTAGGTCTTTGTCCTACATCCATATCATATATATATATTTTAAATGCTGCATAAATTTTTTATCGTTTCATCTATGTTATGATTTGTAACAAAAAAAAAAAAAAATTGTTTATATGGTTATTTTTAATAATGCATAAATTTTTCATTGCTTCATCTATGTTATGCTTTGTAATGGAAAAAAAAAATTGTCTTCAATTAAGATCAATCACACAACCATTTCAGAACACATGATTTATGTGAAAAAACCCGCAAATGAGAAAAAAAAATACAGAAGATTTGGTGTAATAATTTCACTAACAAAAGAAGATGGTCGACGATAATGTCGAATATAAAGCCGCTTGGCTTCTTGCTTGATTTCTCACACCGAAATCCATGACATATAAGGAGTACTTATTGAGTTATAATAGTGTATTTGGCAGAAAATATATTTGGTGTCAAATATATTAAGCAAGAAATATATTTGAAAGGAAATATGAAATTTCTTACTATATATGATAATTTTTACCAAATATATTTGTTTCCAAATATTTTTTTGCTTAATATATTTGATATCAAATATACTTTTAGTCCTTTACACTTTATTGTAACTATATAAATACCCATTGTATATCATGGATTGAGGTGTGAGAAATCAAACAAGAAACTCAGAGATTTTGTACTTGGTTTTATCATCGACCACCTTTTGTTAATGAAGCTAGTAATCCGGCTCTCTCGTGTTTTTTTTTTCTCGTTCAAGGGTTTTCCACGTAAATCCTATATTCTCCAGTGGTTGTAAGATCAGTTTTATTTGATGATAAATAGTGCTTTTTTTTTTAAGTGGCATCAGAGCACATGATTTCTTATGTTGCTTCCGTCATGTTTCATTGGCTATAAAATTGATCTTGTTCATTTTTTATTTTATTTATGAGAAATCAATTATAGCATTATCTTTTTCTTTTTGGAGATGGCTAAAATAAAATTTGACATCAAGAAGTTATAATGGTCTACTCATTTTGCTTTGTGGAAATCAGGATGAGAGATATCCTGGTTCAGTTAGATTTGGAAGAAACATTGCTTGATATTGATTGCATGCCGGAAAAATTATCTGTTGAAGAGAAAATTTAAACAAGATCTCATAGTTTACATCTGTCAAATGAGATTTTACACGGTTGTTTGAAGAAATACATTACCCCACGTAGTGGGATTAAGGCTTTGTTGTTGTTGTTGTTGTTTGAAGAAATACATTACCACAAATCTATTGGAGAAATTGAAGTATAATTTTTGGGGAGTCTCACAACAAAGTTGTATTTAAAGTAGATATGAAGACTCATCTCATTGAGTTCAAAAGCATCATCATTAACCTGGAGATGATTAAGGTAAAGCACGACGATGAAGACTTAACTTTATTTTTGTTATGATCTTTTCCACCTTCGTACTAGAACTTTAATGATTCCATGTTTAATGGAAGGGATTTAATTTTTCAAGAAGATTTTAGTATAGAATAAAGGGAGTTAATTTGTCTCGAAGATGTTAACAATGTCATGTTATCCAAGGATTGGTTTGAGAATGATCAACTTTCTATATCTACCAGTAGTGGTGATATCTTGCTCGCCAGAGGAAAATCTAAAAATAAATCATATCGGTCGAAATCTTTTGTTAGATCAAAGTTCAGAGGGAAGGATATTGCTTGCTTTTGTTGCAAATAAAGGGGGGCATTGGAAAATTAGTAGCCCAAGAAGGATCTTTAAAGAAGCGCGACCATAAGAAAGTCTAAACAACTAGATCAAACGAGTATCATAGCAGAAGATGACAAAAACATCTTAGTGTCTTAGAGCCAACAAAGGTCTTCATTTGAATCGATCATGGACTTTGGCTGCATGCTTTTACAGGATGTGTAATAGTTATTATCTCTTTATCTATCAATTTGTTGAAGATGCATTGTGTTGATGGGGAATGGTTTTTCATGTCCTATGGTTGACATCGATTTAGTGAAGATTTTGATGTACGACTTATTGTTAGGACACTCACTGAGGTCAAACATATCCCTAAGCTAGAGAAAAGTCTGATCTTTCTAATTACCCTTATGATAACTGTTTATGACACACTGATGAAGGTGGAGTCATGAAGGTTTTCAAAAGAGCACTCATGATGATGAAAGGTTGAAGATGCGTTGTGTTGATGGGGAATGGTTTTTCATGTCCTATGATTGACATTGATTTAGTGAATATTTCGATGTACGACTTTTTGTTAGGACACTCATTGAGGTCAAACATATCCCCAAGCTAGAGAGAAGTCTGATCTTTCTCATTACCCTTATGATAACTGTTTATGACACACTGATGAAGGTGGAGTCATGAAGGTTTTCAAAAGAGCACTCATGATGATGAGAGGTCAAACTGTTAGAGAAAATCTCTATGCTTTGGAAAATTTCGTTGTTGCAGGTTCAACAGTTGTTTTAACTTCCATGCCTAATATTGATGTCACTAGATTGTGGCTCTTGGGGTTTGGTTATATGATTGAAAAAGACATTAAAATGTTCAGCAAACAAGTCCTACTATGTGTCAAGGCATTGGTCCTTTAAAATTCTATAAGCAAAAAATGATCATTCATTAGTGCGAACCACAAAGTCAAAGTTCTGCGTTATTATATACACTCTGATATATGGGGACCATTAACAGAGTCGTCATCTGATAGTGCATATACATATTGACATTTATTGATGATTACTTTATGGACGTTTGTCCATTCTTCATCAAACAAAAATTAAATGTATTTGGATTCTTCAAGTAGTGGAAGACCATAATTGAAAAGCATTCTGAGCAATAAATTAGATATCTCAAGACAGATAATTTATTTTAGGTTTATTCACGTCTGTTCGATATTTTTTGTCATTCAGATGGCACGACAATAAAATAATATTTCTGAGAGGTATAGTTATATTAAGTTTTAATGAATATGTTGCATGTTTTTTTTTTCAACCCTTTAGATAAAAGTTTTTGGGCTGAAGATGTTTCTATTGTATGCTGCCGATCAATCAAACTCTTCATGTCGTTATCAATCTAAAGTATCTACAAAAGTATTGGTCTGGTAGTCCTCTTGATTATTCTTCTTGAAGATTTTTGGTTGTCCAACTTACACTTATATCAGGATGAAAAGTTGGATTCTAGACTAAAGAAGTGTATATTCTTGGGCTATAATATGCACAATTGTGTAATGATTTACAAACTATGGAATCTTAAAAATTTTGGAGTCATCGTAAGCAGAGATTTGTTTGATGAAAGATTTCTACCATATCAAGTGACATTGCTGCCGTCCAACTTTATATTGAGACGAGTCTTTTATATCAACGAGCTCTCAGATTGAGGTGGATCACTCTATTTTTACATCATCTCAATAAACTAGTGTTGATTAAGAGATTTCTACTTTTGCATCTTATTCATTGACCATGGGTAGAGAGAGAAGGGTGATTTTCCCACCTAAGTGATATAGCGAGGCAAAATTGGTAGCATATGCATTGAATGTTGCATATGATACGTGCTCATAAAATGATGCATTCTCAAATCTGGTTACTACAAAGTGGGTCGTGACTATAAAAAAGAGATGAATTCATTACATAAAAATCAAACTTGGGTAACATACACAACCATCAAAGAAAAAGATCATCCGATGCAAGTGTGTACACAAGAAAAAGAATAGCTTTTTAGAGGATGAAGAATTAATGTATAGAACTTGATTAGTGACGAAGGGATTTAGTCAAGATTCTAGGAGTTAACTTCATTGACGTCTACTCGCCAGTCGTGAAGCACACATCTATTCATATGCTTGTCGGGATTATTGCTACTTATGATTTGAAGCTTGAGCAATTAGATGTGAATACCGCTTTTCTGCATGATGAGCTGGAAGAAGAAGTCTGCACGGTCCAACTTGAAGGTTTGTTGTGGAAGGAAAACATGACTATGTCTGCAAATTAAAGAAGTTTTTATTTGAAATAAATTAGTTCTCACATCAATGTTAAGGTTTGATGCATTTTCCTGATTAAAAATTGTTTCACTAGAAGCGATATTGATAATCATGTGGACCTAAAGAAGCTATCAGATACATCATTTGTGTTCCTCTTACTCTATGTTTATCACTTGGTGAGTGTTGTTAAGGAAAACTTTGAAGTTTAAAAGCTAGAAGATCTAAGATCCGAATTTGATATTAGTTTTGAGTGCATTAGAAAAGATACTTTATGATGAAAATTTATCTATCAAACTCAGAAAAACTTTCACATTTTTCTTAAACAACCTATGTTCCAAAGTATTGATCGATTCAAACTGAAAGATTTAAAACTGTCCCCACTTTGTTGGCTGCACTTTTTAGGTTATCACCCAGAAGGAATATATGGAGCATATTTTATATGCTAGTGTCATTGATATTTTAATGTACAGAATGATCTGCACTCGTCTAGAATTAACTCAAGCAATAAGCATAGTTAGCAGAAACATGGAAAATTAAGTAAATAATATTAGGTTACTATTAAGTGGATTATGAGGTTTCTGCGCTTCACAACAAATACATATTTGACATTTGACACCTCTAAACTAAAGCTTATCAGGTTTGTAGACCCTGATTATGTTGGTAACTTAGATCGGAGGTTTACTACAGTATTTGTATTCACTCTAGGAGGTTGTGTTGTTAGTTGGAGGTCTTCTTTACAATTCATTGTGGCTTAACTTAAGATTGGGCAGAATATATGGTCATTTATGCTACTCTAGGGATGGTTATTTGGTTGAGAGACTTACATGAAGAGTTCAGCTGTTAAGTGGATTATGAGGTTTCTGCCCGTCAGAACACATACATATTTAACATTTGATGCCTCTGAACTAAATGCTTATTGGGTTTGTAAACTCTGAATATGCTGGTGAGCTAGATCAGAGGTTTACTAAAGGATGTGTATTTGCTCTAGGAGGTTGTGCTGTTAGTTGGAGGTCTTCTTTACAATACACTATGGCTCTATCTAAGATTGGGCAAAATACATGGCCATTTATACTACTTTAGGAATAGTTATTTGGTTGAGAAACTTATATGAAGAGTTCAGTTATAATTCTATGAAGATGAATATTTTTTTGTGATAGTCAAAGTATTATTTATCTGACAAAAGACCAAATCTATCATGAGCGAAATAAACATATAAACTTTGATTTCATTTTATTCGAGATATCACCAAGACATTAAAAAATCTCGCTGACATGATGACAAAGTTTCTTCCAGTAACCTAGTTCAATCATTGCTTGGACTTGATTGATGTTCGATTCCAATGAATCCAAGGGGATTTGGAGAGCGGACTGTAACTTCGAGCTTTATTTTTGGCATAACATTAAGTCGATGTTGAGATTTGTGAAATATTGTTTTAAAATATTTTACTCTTTATATTTGGTAACAAATATATTAAAGCATTAACTTGCGTGATTCTTAGACAAAATTTTCAAATGCATTGAAGTAAATTCGTTAAAATATTGAAAACAATTAACATGACGAAATAACTTGTGTAGAATAATATTTATAGTGCTGACATTAGTGGTGTAAACGAGTCGAGTCGAGCTCAAGCCACCCTCAGCTTGAGCTTAATGTTGATCAATTTTTTTGAGTTCGAGCTCGAGCTCGAGCACAAGTCTACATGTTCGAGCCAGTTCACGATCCGGCTTGTTTAATGTAAAAGAGAGAAAATGATATTATTTTAAGCTAGCTTTATATTAAGATAACAAATTGAATGAATAATTAAGAAATAAATAATATTATTTTTTAAATATTTTTTATACTATTAAAATAAATTCTTGATATTTAATATATTTTGAGTATATTTTATATTAATATTTTTTTAAACAAGCCGGCTCACAAGCTAACGATTCGATTCTGAGCTGGTTTGAGCTAGGCTTGTTAGCTCATCGAGCTCTATTCACAAGTCACTTATCGAGTCGGGCTTGAGCCGGCTCACGAGTTTGCTTGACTCACACCCATAGTTTCCGACTCTCGAGTTGGCTTTACTCACACCCATAGTTGACATATATTCTAGTACTCTTTAAGGGTATAAATTTTGAACCGAATTTGCTTTTGTGTAGGACTATTGATGCATACAAACTTTTTTCACTACAAAAATTTGAGTTATAGTGCGATTAAAAATATATATTTGTCTTCTTTTTATTGGTGAGATTTGAAAACGTAATAAAGTTTGTAGGAATTTGGGCTTTAAATTTATCTCAAATACTGAGATGGAAATGACTCTGGCCTGCATTAAATTATCGATAAGAATAAATATCATAGATATGAGTGAGAGTTTAGTTTTTTAATTATTTATTGGTTAATCTAAAAATTAATATTTTTGTTAGATTTTTCTTGTAGAAGAAGGGAGAACCATCAAGACAATTTTATTTATTGAAGTTGAACAGGATATTTAATGATAAATGAGTAGAACAAATTAGTGCAAGGATGAATACAATTAGGGATTTAATTAAGTTAATTATGTTTTAATTATATTGGCTGACTTATTTGGGTTGCAAAATCTTGCAAAAGAAAAATTTTTGTCTAAGGGTCTGTTTGGGATGTCATCTGCTATAATTACAAAAATTTTAAATAAATAAATAAAATAATGATAAATACAATAAATTAGATTTTGTTTAGAGGAGACACACCTCCTCACAGGAAACAAATCGTATGCTTCTTTCACACTTCCCTTCGTTCGTACCATTGAAGAAGTGAAAGCGAGAGAGAGCAGAGAAATTGAGAGTGAAAGGTGGATAGGAGAAGAAAGAAAAAGGAGGAAAAAAATGCTGACCTTGCTTGCGAAACCCTAGTTGACATCTTTGAGTTGAGCAGCTTGAGTGCAAATGAAGGAACACAAGAGGAAGGAAAAGGAAGCAACGTTAGAGATGGAGAGCGGGGAGGAAGAAGAAGAGGAAGAATGAAAGGAGCCATGTGATTCTTCTCTTACCTGAGATTCGATGTCGAGCCCTAGCCGAAGGAGGAAACGATGTCTAGCCCTAGCTGAAGGAAGAAATGACACCGTGCCCTAGCCGTGCAAAGGAGGGGACTCCCTGTTTTGGTGTTGAAGTTGAGCCATGCTTGAAGGAGGAAGGGAGAAAGCTGGAGCATTGCGAAGTCGTCTGTGGGTTTGGGGATGAGATTTGTGGCAATGTGCTGCGTTCATGAATAAAAGGAGGCACGTGTGCAAATTTAAGGCTTGAGTGCAAAGAGTAAGATTTGAACCTTGTAGGTATTTACGATTTTTTGATGTTATTAGTTGAAATAAAATATCTATTTACTTAGTAAATGCTAATAATAGGTTTGACTTCAAATATTAAAGACAGAAGATTAGAGGCTGAATCAAATAGAGAGTAATCTTGTGCACAAGAAACCAAATCAAACCTTATAAGATAAGAATACACGCACACACAAACACACTTATTTATATGCCATTAGATAGATTTTATGTTTTCATAAGTAGAATTAGCATTCAGATTTAGAAGAATTTTTTATTGGAAATGTATTTGAAAGAAAAATATTTAAATTAAATACCTATATTTATGCTTTTCTTTTATGATAGAATTTTTATAATTATACACACCTTTAACTGATCTGGATGATAGTCAAGAAAATAAAGTGAATGAATAACCTTTCACGAAAGGTCTTTTAAAGCAAATGTGAGTAATCATTTTCTTTTATTTATTAAATAAATAACTGCATTATTGCTTCATATATCTGCTTTTATAGTCAGAGGTATGTTATGAAGTAAGGAATTACTGAAATGAATGAAGTAAAAATGAAAAAGAGAAAACATTGGATTCAATGACCTTAAATAGAAGTAATTAAAAGTAATGAAATGTAAAGACTTTAGTCAATCAGGGATTCAAGGTCACCCACACAGATGATACTAACATGAGATGCCAAGTACCAGTGCATGAAAAACGAAATGATTAATGTGCACCATATGTTACTAATTTCTTAGGATACTTATGTGTACAATTTTAAAGATACCTTTTGGTGTTTTGAACTTTCGCTGTTTGTGGCGATGTTGACGAAAAAACCATCGTAGATATGAGCCTTTCGTCACCGTCTTTTGCCTGTGGTTCGTCCTCCTCTTGTTTTTTTTGTTTTTTCCCCGCATTGCCCTCACGCAGTTTCAGTTTTCTCCCTTTCCCTGCTTCGATTTCTCTTGTCCGTTCGATTGTCTGTCTTCCCCGAAGGTTTCGAAAGCTAAACTTCTCATCTCCTTGTTGCTCAACTTCTCGTTTTTTGTTAAAATTCTGAAGTTTGGGTTGAGCCCTTACCTCTCCTCTTTTGATATGTGATTTTGAAGCTATTGCTTTTATGGATGATATGGTTTATGCTTACAATCTAGCTTTTGGGTTTGCAGTTCTTTGGTTTTGCCATGACAAATTGTTGTTAGGGTTTGCTGTGCTTTAGTTTTGTGTTGAGAAATTTGTATAATTTTGGTATCCTGTTCTCTGGTTTTGCTTTTCTTTGAATGTTTCTCTTGGTTTGTTGTTCCATAAGTGGGGTTGTTCCTTTTGTTTGTTGTTTTTCTGTCATTTGGGTTTATGATGGTGGCATGTTGATGATGGGGGTTTTGTTGAGGGTTTTTGGGTTGTGTATTCGTGTTATGCAAGTGATTATGCTGTTAATTATTTGGGTTTGTTGTTTTTTCGGTTTGTTGTTTGGGGTTACGATGGTCTGTCGTGCATTTGTGTTCTTATTGTCGATTACCTTACTGTATGCATTGAGAGAACATGTTTTAGGCAGAATACAAGATATTTATCATGTGCTGTATTCTCATGGTTTCCTAAGCTTGAGAGTGATACTAGTGTTTTGTTGTTCTATTGGAGACGTTGAGGATCATTATATTTCTTGGTTGTTCCTTGTATATGAGATGTAGGTTACGAAAATATGGGTTGATCAATATCACATTACGATGGCTTGCCTATTGGTTGTTTAGTTGAATTTAATCACTTGAGGAATTGTTAAATATTCTGGCTTTTTTTGTTGAACTGAAATTTATTTTTGTTGTTCTGTTTGGATTATTCCTGAAATTGAGGGCTTATAACTAAGATACATACATAAGGGCATAATGGCCTTTTTTTTCTCAGACATATCTGATCAGCTGTTTAGTCAATAAGTTACGTACTCCCCAAACAGACCCTGTGTTTGGAGGAGTGATGTTCGCATTATTTTCTTAGCAAAAATTTCCAAAATTTTTCTCTATTTATGCAGGGTCTTTTGCTGGTCTGGGCTTTCTTTCATGGTATCTAGCTGGGAAAATCAGAGCTTTTGACAAGAGGGGGCATGCCGCCAAGCTTTGCATCGTGCTGCTCCCTCTCCTATGTGCAGCACTTATTGCAATCTCTCGAGTGGATGACTATTGGCACCACTGGCAAGATGTATTTGGAGGCGGCACTTTAGGTTAGTAATAGGTTTCATGCATACATTTTTTTATCAAATTGAAATGATTTTTCTTATTTCATTATTCTTTATTTGTTTAATTTTCTTATTCTAATTTTGTGTCTTGCTTGTTTCTCAGGACTGGTGGTCTCCTCAGTTTGTTATTTGCAGTTCTTCCCTCCCCCCTACGCTGAAGATGGTCCCTTTTCTTTCTCTCTCATTATATTCGTTAATTATTGCTACTTATTATATCCTAGACATAGAATATTAAAAGTTGTGTTCCAATTTTGAGGACATTTCTACATGCTTTACGACAAAAAATCAAACTTTTATTATTTCTTCTTCTTTGATTATTTTGAGTATTTTCTCTAGGAAGATCAACATACCACTCAGTTCCTATGTATTTACATTCTCTCACAACCCACTCATGCATGAAAAAATGTAATTTTTAAAAATTAAAATGGTGGTATTTTTTATATGATATGAAATATTTGGGTGGTATTAATATAAAATAATAAAGTTTAGGCGTTCGATATGTAAATACTTAGGAATTTGATTGTATGTAAATGCTCTTTTTATAATGTCTTTATAAATAAATAGTCATATTGTTTGAAATTTGAATTAAACTTGAGCAATATCCTTAATATTGAGTCATCAGTTCAGTTCATTATATAATTACATTACAGGTTGGGGCCCTCATGCATATTTTCGAGTGCTGGCAGAGACATTAAACACAACAGTTCCAACTACGAACGCTACAAATACGACGAGGCCTGCGGAGATGGACACCATCTATATTGCCTCAGACAGACAGAATCCTTATTCGAGTCCTAGGGTTAATGGCACATAAGGTGGTGTTGGTGCTCTGGTATAGCGATGTTCTTGATCATTTTTGTGCTTGTTTTGGATCTATCTTATTAGATATCTTCAGTAGGAATTTGATTTATTATTTTATATATTTTCCCTTTTTTTGTGAATTTGATAATACCTTACATATTATGTTGGTGTAGCTTTTCTTATGTTTTGTTTGTAAATATATGTAACTTTTAATTCATGTAAGGATATATATGATGGAGGTTTTCACTACATTTGATAATTTTGGATCGACACCGATCAATCATCATCGGATTATCCATACTGAGGTGTTGAGAAAACATGAAAATGTGTTCTCCTGACAAATCATCGAGGTTGAGATGCTAGAATGTTTTAAGATTCCGGTACTAAAGTTCTACAAAGGATGAAACGATTCGACTGACCACATAGCCCAATTCAAATCAATTGTGTGCCTACCAAAGATCACTAAAGCCCTATGTTATCATTCCTACCCTTATGTCTTATTGTTAATTATATAAAAATTGTTAAATAAGATTTCCCTAATAGCAGACATGATCCTAGGTCTGACCGATACTTGAGGAACTCGGGAAGTTCACCAAAAGGATCGTCGAAATTCGATTGAGACTTGGGGAACTCAAATCAACCCAAGTGACAAATCCGATAGTGAGGGATAACATTGGATTGGTAAAAAATATCTAAAATAATTGAAAAATGATGAATAAACATCTGTTTAGTAATCGATAAAATCAAAACACTCAATCATCAATAAAACACGTCTCTTCGATCAAAGTGGGTCAAGCTCTCGTGGCGATTCCCTACCATTTAACGATAAGATCCATTATGGGTATCATGCAAATCAACCCACAACAAGTGTTGAAGGTTATCCTAGCAAGGCTGTGACAAGATACACTTAATATGCTTAGTCTAAGGTATGGTATGTCCTAGGTGACAATTGATCCAGACTTTCTATATAGATGTAAAATGCGATGTATGTTATTATATGCTTAATATCCTTAATAGTTATTCTTAATTTGCAACAAAGTCAAAAACTTGATCCCGGGCAAAAGCTAGGTAATTTTTCAACTATGAAACAAAGAAGAATATAATTATAATTTTAAATATAAGATACTACGCAAGTATACGTATCATTATCAAGTAATATAAGACTTTCTGATCAAGTCCCGAATATCAAATCCACAAGAAAAATGACTATATTCTTTTTAGAAATTGAAAAATTTAGAAATTTTAGATGACAAAAATCTTCTTAGCAAAATATTCTTACTTAAACTTAAAATGCTAAAATAAGAATGTGAATTCGATTCTTTTTGTAATTTTTTGGTTTATGAAAATAAAGTAAGCAATTAATTAACTTAACTAAATACTTGTAAGATGAAAGTGATATAAATAAAATATCTTTTTCATTATCATGAATCAGTAATAAATAGAAAAATTCTGTTGTGGAAGTACTCTAAATGTGTTGTGCCAAATATGAGCAATAATATTCTTTACCCTTATTAGAAGTGCTATAAAGAACATTGACTGATTTATAGTTTGAATAGTCTTGAAGACCGGCTAGGCAGAGAAGATACTATCTCTCATTCTAGAGTTCACTCTTCTTCCTCCACATGGGGGCTAACATCTTGTATTAAAACCAAAAACTATAAATCAAATTTGGGGCTTTAGCCTGTCACTCTAAAGTCCTCTAATTCTACATCAATGAAAATCTTATTTCCCTATTTATTTGCACTCAATCCCATGACTACATTCTCATCCATGAAATTAATATGTGATTCTAACCATTTGTTGACTGAGACAATACCATCTCGAATCTTATATGTTCTCACAATAGGTATTAACATCTTAATTGGTCCAATCAAGAAGTAAATGAAGTGCAAAATTTCAAATCATAACAACTTCTTTCAATAATGAAGCCTAATACTTCACACAAATTCTTTTCAACACTTAATCACTTATCATTTTAAGGAAAAAAATAAAGAAAACTACTCAGAATCCATGGAGAAAACACAACCACACATGAGTTTAAAAGTAGAAATCATGCACACAAACAAGAAATCTAAATTAAAACCAAGTGTAGTCATAAAGATAAACACTTATCTCAAATCCTCTCCACCAAATATTTTGAAGTTCCTTTGAATTTTCTTCTTTCACTCACAATACAAACAACACTCAAAATAAAAAGAAAAGTAGCTGACGGTGGCAGCTACTTAGATGGATGATGGCTGTAAATTTGATGGGTGACTGTCCTTCTTTCTTGGAAAATCTAAGTCTTTTCTTATAAAAATTTAAGGGGTGCCTTGGTGTTTCTTCAAAAAGGTGTCTCCTTCTTCAAAAAGGTGTCTTGTTTCTTCAAAAAGGTGTCTCCATTCAATGAATCTTTTAGAAGTTGCCTCCTTAAAAGCTAATTAAATGAATTTTCATATCCATGGGCTACTTCCCACTTTTTTTACCAAGGGTTGCTTCAAACACCTTTTCAAAAATCCGTTCAAATTAAAAAAAATTCATATTATAACTACTTCTGGCACTTAAGCGTGGGGTACATGGCGCTTAGACGCTGCTCCTTTGGCGCTTAGGCACCAATCCTGGGCACTTAGGCAGCCTAGTTTATTTTTTGCACCTTTTTTCATTTTTACTCCAAATTTGATCATTTTTTACTCATTTTAGCATTTTTCATCCATTTGATTGTACCTGAAAGATAAACACACGAATACATTTCATTAAAGCGTAATATCTCAAAAATCGGTATAAAAATTTGTATAAAAACACTATATATTTTAGATGTATCAAAATATGTATCAAATAAAATGTTACTTGTCCTCAAGTGACCTTGTTACTTTTAAAATGTTACTTGTCCTCAAGTGACCTTTCAATCTTTAAAAACCAACATCATTAGATAATATATACGAGTTTCTTTAGGAGTTACCAAAGATGTTAATGTAGAAATATAGTAGTCCAATTTAGAAAAAATATTAGTAAATGTGATCAACTTAAAGTTTAGAAATTTTTAATGCTAAGAAATACAAAAATACAGGTTCCTATCTAATTCAGAAATATTATAGATTTTCTAAATATAGAGTTTAGGCATTTTATTATCTCCATTTAAAAATTTTTATTAAACATAATTTTACTCACTATATTATACCCCTAAGCTTAAAAATTTCTCAAGTCTTATACTTTAAAAAGATCAAATGTGAACAGATGTGAAATCAATTTTTGATTAGACACTAATCCTCAAGCTTCTCCTCCCTTTTTCAACCTTTTCTTTTCTATTCTTTTTCTTTTTCTTTTTCTTTTTTCAGACAAGAATTAGTATATTTGGATAGATCTTTAATGGTTTTGAATTCTACTCATCGTTTCCTAAAGCAAAGAGTTGATATTTTTCTTTCACTTAAAAACATAATACTAGTTTTGAAAATTAATTTCAATAAAAAAAATTTAAGTTTTGAAAATGAAAGGTCTAAATTTCTAAATTTTTCAAAAATATAATTTTTCCTACTAGAGATAGTTACACAATACTTCGCATTTTCCACATTAAAAATTTTTAACTTTAAGTTTTTCTTCATTACTATAAATTTTAACTAAATTCTCTTACTCATTTTTAAAATCAAAATTTTACTTCCCTAATAGAACATCATATGCATAATCATTTTTTAAATCAAAATCAAATTTATTTGAAATACATTTGAGAACAAATAAAGTTTTAAGTTCTTTTTAGAAAAAAATTTCATCCCCCTAAACTTAAATTTTTATTAGAAATAAAACATTTTAGCATCATATATAAATAAGCAAGAATGAAAACTAACTATAAACATGCTTGCAGGATGTTTCATATCCTATATATGCAAGTACAAAATTTTAAAACAAGAGTAAAAATTTAATTGATTAAAATTTAATTTTCTTAATATAAGAGATTCATTAGACTTCTATGTAGTGTGGAGTATAACATAAAAGTAAACAAACTTACTAACAAACACACATGACTATGACAGAGAAAAATAACTGGTAGTAAATTGAAAATTTTAAACTTGCAGCTTAACAAGTTAGCTAAATTCTAAACCTTTTTAAGATTCTAGAATTAAGTTCAACAAACACTAACTAAATACAACAACACAATTAAAACAATTACTACCACACATAATAATTACTCATTAAACACAAATACATCACAATGGGTGTACGAAACAAAACTCAACATATCAAAAACTAACAGCCTCTACAATCCCAACTAAAAATAAAATAAAATAACAAAAAGTACATAACCATAATACCAACAACCGTATATAAATAAGCAGGAACTATAAACATGCTTGCAGGATGTTTCATATCCTATATATGCAAGTACAAAATTTAAAAACAGGAGTACAAATTTAATTGATTAAAATTTAATTTTCTTAATATAAGAGATTCATCAGACTTCTATGTAGTGGAGTATAACATAAAAGTAAACAAACTCACTAACAAACATACATGACTGCGACATAAAGAAAAATAATTGGTAGTAAATTGAAAATTTTAAACATGCAGATTAACGTGTTTGCTAAATTCTAAACCTTCTTAAGATTCTAGAATTAAGTTCAACAAACACTAACTAAATACAACAACACAATTAAAACAATTACTACCACACATAATAACTACTCACTAAACACAAATACATCACAGTGGGTGTACGAAACAAAACTCAACATATCAAAAACTAACAGTCTCTACAATCACAACTAAAAATAAAATAAAATAACAAAAAGTACAGAGTACTAGTACTAACAACAGTTCATAGCAACACATAAACCACAAACATAAAATAGAACTAAAGATCCAAACCAATCATCAACCTCTTCTTCATCATTATCGTCACTACTCCAAACAACTATAGGCTCATATGGTGGATATCTGAGATACTGAGGAAAGACTACATCCCGATTACCTCTATTGAGGGGCTCCATATCTATGTTGTATTCCTCCAAATAATCACTTCATCTCTGCATATATCCTTCCATATGTTCTGCAAAATGCTCTAAATTCAGTACCTTATCCGCAGTGATGTTGACGTTGTCTAAAATCTTCTGTAATAACTGTGATTGGGAATCAGATCCAGAAGTCTAACCACGTGATGTAGAAGCATGTGAAGTAGAAGCTCGCGAAGTCGAGGAAGCAGAACTATTGAAGAATCCACCCTTCAGCCAAAAATAGAATGATGTGAACAAGACATCACATTCACACTGATAATGAGAGTT